CGTCGTGCCATAACGCCCACTGTCAGCGTTATCGTAATCGTATGCGGGCAACGTGCGTTCAACTTATGAAACCACGGCTGGAGGAAAGGATTTTGAAGAATGCAACATCACTTTCGACGGATAGATCTCCTTTTCATGGAACGTTACGCAATCATGGCGGTCGAATGAGGAGCACGGTCGGTAAAGTCGTCCTCCGCCGAGCGGACTTTAATTCGGGCAAAATGCGCTCGTTACACGTGAAAGAAATTTATAGGCCGTAGGCATGTATCGTGATCACGGGTCGAAACGAGTTGGCGAAACGAGTCTGATTTTATGGAACTTTAAGCGGGAAGCGAGTAAGAAATAATACACGAGGAAACCGAAATTAGACCTAAGGGGTGGAAAATGCGTTTTAAATTTATTCGCTGCGTGTTTACCTAGCACGATTATCTTGCTGATTTGTTAGCTACGTTTGCAATTAATGCCTTTGTCTGGGATTACCGACGAATCAAATTAATTACTTTAATAATATTTCGCAATTTGGTCTTTTTCACGGGTTTTGGAACCCACGGGAGGGTGTCGAGTTACTTTCCAGTGAATCTGGTTCGTTTCGTATGCGTCTACATCGGCCTCGATGCACGCGAATTTAATACATCCTGCAACGAGTATCAAAATTATTCGGCGAGGAATCTAAGGAGCGGAAACGAAAAGTGCACGTTTAGACGAAGGGATAAATTACGTTCGGTCACGTAAACGAAAGCTCGTGCCGCGAGTGTTAAAACGTATAGTATGGCAGGCTTTCGAAGTCATGGACCGTGTTACGAGGAAATCACTATTCCTCACCCGTTCCCTCGAATGCATTATCCTGCCGATACTCCTGCAAACTATGCGCGTTTCATACCTTTTACTGGAAAATGTATTCGTGATACGAGACTCGACAGGACATATGTAAATATGCACGGGACACGTATCCTGTACGAGTAAATTATACGGTACTGGCTTGATATTTTATCGGATGCTCGATTAAAGTCTTTAAAGCGTCCCATATTTCTCGCCATTTGAATATTTTTAATTATTCCATAAATCTTTCAACTAAACCTTGGCACTACATCGCTGCATGACCAAATACTTCAATTTACGATTTAAGAGACCTCGGAGTCAAAGATGAACGCGACACCATTCGTGTTTCCACGAGTTTCCACGTTGTCCTGCTTGTTCGCATTCCTCGTGGATCAAATAGTTTCCATTTCACTAGCTAGATTCGGTGTACCATTCCAGGGTGACTTTCACGCAAAGAAATTATTCTGGTCACATAGCGCGGCGCACCTTGCTAGAAATTCCATAATGACCTACTACTAGGAGGGAAATCTTGGCGCGCACGAGTATTCTCTGTTCGTATGTTTACCGGAGTGTGGACGAAAACAAAGAATTTCTTTTCGGCCGTTTGATTTATCCTCGCATCGAACTGAGCAAATAGATCTGCAATCTGTTCTCGTAGGTGTCCATCAGGCAGAAAAATCCGAGCAGCAATTGCGTTCCAGCTTTGAGCGTTCGCGTTCAAGGCGCTATTGAAACAAAACCTCTCTACTATCTCCTTTCTCGTGTTTCGTTTCTTTCATCGGTGTAGGAAACGGCGTGAATGGTTTCATAAGTAATGCCAACTACTTTCTCCAGTCTCTCCTAATAGCCTTTGTTACATTGCCTCGAAATTGGATACGAAGTAGCGTGAAACACGAGCAACTAAATATACAAATTACGTACCGATATCATCGTAGATAGACAGAGTAATGTATTAAACAAACGTACATGTAGAAAATTCTAATTAAGACGATCACCTAGTCGAATAATCCCACTGGGTTCCCAATTGCAACATGCTGGTTGCATGTTCCAGTTAATTACATAAGTCCAAACGTTCTAATATCTAAGTCTGTCGATTACAAAGCCACAGGTGGTTATCGTATCACAGGGTACTCACGTTAACCATCCGCGGCTGCGTTTACGTCGCGGCTTCTCCAAGCTGTCACCTCTTCGAGGAGGTCCTCTTCGAGATCCTGCTCAAGGTCGCACGTTCCTCTCACTTTATCACTGGTTTCCGTCGGAAGAAAGGAAGGTCCTTACGCACACACTGACCTTACTGGCACTTGCACTTTCATCGATCGACCTCACTATGCAGAACCAACAGGTAAATTCGTGGAGATTAAGAAAACGGGAAATTAACGTGTAAACGGTCGTGGAGAGCGCTTACGATGACGGTCTTGTTCGATGAATCGTAACAATACCGTGTCGACGGGAGATTAAATAATACGGGTGAAACTCATGCGAACCGAGACGCGAAAGGAACATGTCGTGGCTCCGCGAGCGGAGCAACTTCTGCCACCAACTGACTAAAATCGACTGACTGAATGACTGACTGACTGTGCGCTGACTACCAGCCGTGAACTGCCAGTCGCGGATCCGGACCCGATCACCACCATCCTAGCTGGCCTTCCTCCTCTTTCTCTGGTCGCCGACTTACTGACGACCACCATCCTCTCTCTTTTACCTCCCTCTTCCCGCGCCGCAACTTTGTTGTCTGCACAGGTATCAAACTTTGTTTACGAAGTTCACCACGAAGTTACCGAATTTTTCACCGATCAGGTACTTACTCCATTTGCCATATTGAACGATCGAGTACTCGATAAACGATAAATACACCTTGACCTGAAATGAGCAGACCATCTGTTAAAACGCGGATATTTTAAAGGTTACTACGAATTGAGTCTGGTGGTGAATACGATCTGTAGGGTATTCTTTCCCGATATCGCTACCTTGCATTTGATGCACAGTCTCAAGATCCTTCTGTTGTTTCGAGCAGTGTAGCATGACGGGATCTTGATAAAGTATTCCATAAAATGTTTGATGCATGGTTTACCGGAAGCCATTCTTCTTGCGGAGAACTTTTCTTTAATATTAAGATAAACGAAACATGAATTAAGAAAAGACTTTTGCTCGTTCATGTTTCTTTCTAATTATTTCTGATTTTTAATTTATAAATTGTTCTGCTCGATAGTCGTATAATATTACCACGCATTTGAATTTAAAATCGTCTATTTTGAAAAGGAATTTTCCACAAAATTCACCGTGTTTAAGGGTCAAGTTTCGAAGCATCACGGTCTGGCAAGCAATTATCTAAATGATAGTAATCAGAGAACGGTTGAAACGTGGTCTAGGAAACAATGACGTGCCTAAGCGTTCGATTACAACATCGAACACTTTTCTATGCCGACAGACGTTTCGGTCGATTGTAATGGCGAATTCTGGTCGCTAGAAAACACACGAAATTTATCTAAATGGCGGGTAAAAAGGTACGCGAGGAGAGTAGTGAAACGGGAGCGACCGAGAGGCTGTACTGGAAAAAGAGAGCAAAAGCGAATCGTAGTTGAAAGAAGAGAAAACGAGAATTGTAGCCCGGGGCTACAGGCTGTTCTGGTGAAAGCTCGTGTACGTTGACTTTTGTACGAAATGTTCGTTTCAACATTATGCCAGATATTGTTTGTTAAGCAACAGCTGATTTCTAGAACAGCCTGTCGTTAAAAGGTGGTTATACCTCCCCCTAGTATTTCCTTTATTTCTTTCGCTTGAAAAATTCTACACATGTATTTCCTTTGTCTGAGCATTGTCATTTTGTAACTAGGTATATTCGTCACTATAGCTATGATGAAGGTACGATAAAAAGATATACTACAGGCAGAAGATCAAACACGAAAATGAAATTTTGATATTTCAGGAATAATGTAAATATATCGATAAATAAGAATGATGAAGACTAAAAGACAATGATTTTACGAATTAATGATGAGATATATAAACTCTGAACTCACTGTCACTTCCTATTCTCCCACGAATCTTCCAAGTGTTGGGAACCATTACAAAATGAAGTTTTGAATTAATAAAAGACATGGTTATGTTCATCTCTGGAACAGTATTTCTGGAGAGTACAGTAGCGCTACCTAGTGACGAACTAACGTACTACCTGGATATATAAATATTCTACTATTCGCAATATCTTTTTAGTATTAATTTACCTTTTCCGAGGATTCTATATTATCTTTAAAATAAGAATAGAGATAGCATTTAAAATTCCCTAAACACAGAAAAGATTATCACTTTGGAACTGACTATCAATAACAATTAATTTTGCAATTTTTATATTTGAAATCTAAAAACGAATAAATAAACTGCATGGAATTATAAGTAACAAAAAGATTCACCGCTTAATACATTTCTTGTATTAAATTTTTATACTATTCTAGTGAAATTTCCAACATTGCCGACTAGTCATGAAAACAGAGACGAACTTCACTGTGGTTGAGAACCTATGACGTTGCAGTATCGTTCCCAACGTTATCGACTCAGGGTAGAATAAACTTACTAGACTAGCAGCTCAGGCCGAAACATTCCTATGAAACTAGAGAATAGTAGAAAAACTTGATTGAAAAATCAAATGTACTACTTTCTGTTTTATTGCATTGTATAATTAATTAAACTTCACGATGGTTCTATGACTACACATGCAAATTCGCAACACCAATATTTCCTAGTCACAATTATTCCTTAGGAAATTTATTAAAAAATAAATTTATTCTTTAATAAAGTTCCTAAGATGTGTAAAATCCGCGATCAAGTTAGAAACAAGGTATGGACATCGATGATCGCTATTTTAATTGATGTACCTATGTAAATTATGTCTAAAGTCTAAACAACATAACCTAAAAGAAGATCCCTAATCGATCTCTCCTCCCTAATTTAACAGATGAAAATCTACAACGTTAAGATCGCAGCCAATTAGCTCGTATTACTTGCTATATCATTCATAATTGTATCATAGCTATTAGTTATGTATGATATAACTATAGTGATACAATTAGAAATGATATGTCAAATAATACAGATTGCCCAGGTCTCACCACGAGGAGGTGCTGCGAATGGAGACCCACCCTATCCACGACCCATCCACCCTCCATTCGCGAAAAAAATAATCAACATTCAAATAAATTGCCCTTTTTGTGCACGATTGCAAAACGCTCAATCTTTGATCGTTGTACAAAACAATGGCAAAAAGGATTGGAAAGAAAAATCGACGCGAAAAGCTAAACCTGAAAATGAAAGATGAATATTTTCGCCTGGAACTAAACCTGAAAATAAAGGATAAATTTCACCTCCAACTAAACCTAGAAATAAAAGAATAAAATAAAAAAATAAATAAAAATAAATAAACAATATAAGCATAAAATAGCAATAAACATAAGCATTAAACTTAAGCACTAAGAATTAAATTTATTTAACCAACTTAATACTAAGCAATACTACTACTACTTAATACCACCAATACCACAATTAATTATATATAAACCCAATTATTAACATGCATGATTACCTTTGGTTAACCTTAATACTGCTTGAATGTTATATTACTTCAATACGAATAAACCTAGCATTGTAGTGTAAGCCCCCTGCTTACTTATTAATTCCTTACTTAAGTACTATTAACATCTTAACTAACAAGTATATTATCTAAACGTAAGTCTTACTTAGCTTAAAAATATCCTGCCTGGCTAAAAATCTAATTCATCCTGCCTATGTAAAAATCTAATTCATCCTGCCTGAGTAAAAATCTAATTCGTCCTGCCTGAGTAAAAATCTAATTCGTCCTGCCTGATTAAAAATCTAATTCGTCCTACCTGACTAAAAATCTAATTCATTCTTCATGTCAAATATCAAATTGAAACAAAGAATTAGGAAAATACCATGTGAATGCCTTCCGCCAGTGGTCCATAAGAGATTCTAAAACAAATTTTGTAAATCCAACCGAAATAAAAATTCGAATTATATTTTATACGCCATAATATATGTGTATAAAACCTTGGGCGGAGATAGGAGGAGGTGTTGTACAGATCACACATCAGAGATACAGAAATACATCTTACTTATTAGGAATATAGAAATACGGCTTACTTATCAGAAATATAGAAACAAAGCTCACTTATCAGAAATATAGAAATACGGCTCACTTATCAAGAATATAGGAATACAGCTTACTTATCAGGAATATAGGAATACAGTCTACATATCAGGAATATAGGAATACAGTCTACATGTCAGGAATGTAGGAATACACTCAACACATGAGAAGTATCAAAATACAATCTGCACATGAGAAATATAGAAATATACTCCACCTAGAGAAGGGATTAAAGATTCGATTCAGAACCCTATCTATAAAATATTACAATCTTAAGGAAAAAGAATGTGGAAGTTATATGGAATTTGAATCTCTTCGCACCATCTTCGCAAGTCTCGCAATGGTTCCTGAAACATATCAAACTGCAAAAAAATTAGTAATATTATACGAGACATAATTAATTATAGTAATTAACATGATGAGATTATAAATAAATAAATGAGACTCACACACCAGTTTCCCTCAAATCATTTCCTTTCATATATGTAATTCCACTGCTGAGCCTCATACTTACATAAGCTCGAATATTTGAAATGCAATTAAGCAAGTTTTGTACATCTATAAATCTAAAACAAACTTATGTACTGGACTAGAAAATAAAAAAAAATTTTTAATTTGCAGCTGAAAGAAAACAAGTTGTATTTAAAAATATACAAATTCGGACATTCTTGATTCTAAGATACGAATTTCTATTGACATCTCAAGCAAATGTCACTTTAGCTAACATTATTTTACAAGATTGATTTGAAAAAATTTAATATTTTGTGAGAAAAAAGGAAAAGAAATTATTCAAAACAAAAAAATATATTATACAGCAGTATTTTTAGTAACAAATATTTCGCTAACAAAGGGCGCTGAAAAAGAAAACACAATGGTAGCCAGAAGGGCCACCGAAACAAAAATTTTCACTCAATTAAACCCGAGTAAAAAACCGTGAGTGAAATATCATTCCAAATTTCGCAACATTAATTTATTAAATCTATCGATAATAGAGAAAATTTACAAAATCAAACGCGAAGGGTGCTTCACAATATTTGCTATAAAAATTAATTTACCATTTACAAAAAATCAATAAAAAAAAAAATACAAAAAGAAAAAAAGAACAGATAATTCCCGAAAATATTCATGCTAAGATGTATTGATTACGAACGCAACACTAATAAATACTAATTTATGCACCCATTTGCAAAAATACGCAACACTAATAGCGGAAAATTATGGGCAGCCGTGGTCCAGGCTGCTCATGCGTGACCACCCACCTGCAGCTCTATAGCTGCAACAGGTGATTCTCCTCAGGAACAGGACTGTACTTCCACAGTCCCAGTGGAAGAATTTTGGGCATTACGTGTTCGCAACACTACTTGAAAAAACGCGATCTTATTTCAACGCAACACTAACTATAAAGGTAGGTAGTAATTAAAAAAAAATAAAAAAACGCGATAAAGTTAAACGCAACGCTAATTTTTAAAATGAATTTAATAAAAATTACTATCTCTATATGTACAAAAGCTACTTTTGAAAAATCCCGATTAGCAAAAGTCGCAACGCTATAAACATAACTAAAAGCTAATAAAAATTTAATATAATTTAATTTTTTAAAAAATGACAAATTTTACTTCGTTCATGTAACAAATCCTAATATTACTATTTAACAAGAAACAATAATTCATGTAAAAAGGTATAAAAGACAATCGCGTTCTTATAATTCGCAACGCTAAATCAAACGCGATCATTACTTTATCGCAACTCTAATTAAAGTCGCGAAATCTGGTCTCCTTCGCAACACTAATTCAACCCGTGATTAATTATTCGCAACGCTATTCACAAAAATCGCGATTTGCCCAAAACAGGATGCTGGGCCGATGTACATCGGTCAATAAACAATAGTAAACAAACTACTACTACTACATACTACTAAATAAGAGCATAGTGACAAAGTAATAAGAAGAATGATTCCCCATTCCTTGGATGGGAAATCATTCCTAGGCACCCTTCTTGTGACAGTTTGTCGGGTACCTAATAGCCTCTTCTTCTTTCTTCGAGCGCCATGCCCGCTGAAACTTATATCTAGGCTCGAGATTCTCTAATCGGAAAAAAAAAAAAATACAAATCGCGAAAGCTAATCGAGACCCACATGGACAAGCAACGATCGGAATGATCGTTGTTCGTGCACACGTGCAGAAACTCGAGCACACACACGTTCGACACAACCGCGACCGCGACGAAAATTTGAAAAAATCGATAGGTAAAGCTAGTGACGAATGGCAACCCCCAAACGTGCCAGCTTCACCGTCGACTATTCAAATGATATTTCCTGAAACAGGTTGTGCACGCGAAACGCGCCTACCCGACCCAAGACTGTGCCAACCTGCCCGGCCCTACCTACTTATAATTAGCAAGCAAACCAGAGTATACTACCTACCTAACTCCTCCTATATTTAAAAAATGGCAAAACTCAAGCATTCCAACACACCACACTCCACGGTTCTCACACATCACCAGGGCGCAAAAATCCTACACTACAGTAAGCGTCCCGGGACGCCCCCGACACCCGAGTGTGAACATACTACTTGCACACTTTAATTGTACGTACCATTTACTGAAATCGGCTGACGATGGCTAGGGACCTTTGCGTAAAGCGCGAGTATATCAGTTCCCGAAAAAAAATTCATAATCGCGGAAGTACGAAAATTGGTAACATTACCGCGTTTATACTATCTGTAATCCGTTGTATTTAATAGCGGATTATGTTCTAATATTGCGATTAATATTCACGAATTCTCAAAATTCATAAATATTCGGAAAAGGGAAGGAAACAAATGTACGAACGACGTAATTCCACAACCTAACCACACACACAATGTGGAAAATACATCGTGCACGATACTCTAACTCATCGTCAGCCGCTAAAAACATTATAATTTTATGAACTATGGTCATCATGCCCATTGCCTTTCACCCACCCAAGTAACACCTGGGCACGTGAGTGGGTTCCTGGC